AGACGGGACAGGATCAAGCAGGCAAGTGGTGGGGTGAGATAAAAGGAGAAGCACAGCCACCTCTTGTTCGGTAGCCTGGGAGAAAGTCTGAAGGGTAGGAAAGGCATGGTCCAGGTGTGGTTGAAAAAGAGAGGGGCAAGGTGGTGAGAATTATTTCCTTATCTGGTTGGTAAAGTAGCATGCAAAGCTATCGGCTGTAAGGTTTGTTTGGGGGGTGGCCACAGCAGGGCCAAGAAGGGAGTTAAAGGTATTAAAAAGATGCCTTGGATTGCCGGAGCAAAAGAGGAGAAAGAGAGGGAAGGGGGTGGGGGGGTGGGTAGAGGTTTGAAGGAGTAGTGAGGCAAGAGCAGAAACTCTATAAAACCACCTTTACCTTCAGAGTGTCTTGGGTTTTGGGGAAATTGAAGACCACCAGAGGATAAAAAGGCAGGGGTAGCGGTGTCAGAGGGAGAGAGACAAGTTTCTGTTAAGGCTAATAAGTCTAGACAATGATACCTGTTTTACACTGATATATCTGGATTAATGATTATGAACAAACATGAATGGTGTAGGAAAAGGGAAATGATAACCTTATGAATATGAATGGATATGTCTGTAAATAAGATAATGTGACCAAACAGTGGTTATAGTGAAGCCATAGTGTGTTATAAGGCAGCAGCATCAAACACTCTTGTTTAAACTTCTCTTATTAAATGCACACACACAAAAAACTGAGTGAACAAGCCAAAAAAGGGAATACTGCAAATGAATATACCTTTAACCAATTTTATTTTCTATGTGTGCTAAGTGTGTACAAATAAAAAAAGAAAAGAAAACAATAAAGTGTATTGATTTCAACGCAATTCAATTAGGGACATATGTGGTTACACTCACATAAAAGAGCCACATAGTAGACCTGGTTTCAAGTTCTCCAGCATGGAATGTTTATAATGTACATTCTAAAACCTCATCAAGATTGCATAACTTCTGCATAGAATCCACAGTCAATATTTAATGTCTGGTCTTAACATAGTGGAACTGTTGACATATAATGTAGGAGAGATTGGTGGCATAGAAATGTAATATACAAATATAAATTTGTGGAAAATGTCCCACTTGACTTTGGCAGTTAGCTGGGGTAATTTAAAATGGGGCACTTCTAAACTACCCAACATGAGACATGCAATTTAAAAAAATGCTTATTTATATTCTAAATATAAAACTCTGAAACAAAGCTAATAAGCCCTGGAGGTATTGGTGTAATAAGGGAACCTGATTCACATTATGTGTATGGATATACATTCTTTAAAACTAATTGAATGTTTGGTAGAAATTGTTAGAATAAAAACATCATAAGGATAAATTACAACATAAGAAATACTGTGTTATGCATACATTTCCTAGATATGTTGCAGAAGGTAGTCTCAGTAGTGCAATTTTATAAATCAGGTGCTAGACAATTTGCCAATAACTGACAAATAAAAGGAACTACAAAACTACGGTTTAATGGTATTCAAGAGCCAAACTGTTACCTAGCAACATAACATTGGGGATCTACTTGCAGAGAGTTCTTGTTTTATACTTGCTCTGTATCCCTTGTTTGATCACATTATTTATGAGTACTTGCTAAATAAATATAATTTATTTTTGGCAGAATATGCTTTTAATATGTTCTTTTCCCTTAAAGATTTTACTGCAAGATGATGCATCATTAAAAGTATATTTTTATTTTAACATTGATGAGCATTAAATCATGTCTGTTTGTAGAGAATGGATGCAATCAGGAAGCATTGTTTTAATATCATTTATATTTTTTTAATAGTCCTTATAAAGAGATATATCTCTATCACAGTTACAGAGACACAAATTATGTAAAATGTATTAAAGGTATAGTAACCATAGTCTTAAACTAGAGGGGCAAAGGTTTAAAAATAATATCCAGCAGTATTACTTTACTAAGAGGGTTGTGGATGCATGGAATAGGCTTCAAGCTGAAGTGGAAGAGTTTAACACAGTGGAGTTTACGCATGCGTGGGATATGCATAAGGCTATCAGAATACAAAATGCGTTCCTGCTAGTTATTATTGAGTTTGCAGAGCAATTAAATTACATACGTATATATAATAACTATATATATGGTATATGTATATTATTATAAAATACAAATAATAAGTAAATTCAAATAAATTAAAAAAAAAATTAAAAATAAAAATGTAAGGAAGGGAAGCAGCTGAAACCTGGAGGGAAGATAGTAACCGTAACAGAAAAAAAAATAGGAGAGGAATAGCGCTACAGTACTGATCACAGGGGAGAAAAGAGCTGCACACCTGAGGGGAATGGTAACCCTCAAACCCTTCAAAGAATGGAGAGCACAAGATACAACAAATACAGGGTGTGCTAAGTTGGACAATGAGCGATAATAAAAAAAATTCAGCAATAATATAAAGAGTCTCTTAAAGTACAGTGAAGACCTGGAGTGTATATTCTTCAGTCCTTGCTTTGAATCCTCAGTGGTAAATATGAAATACAAAAGCAGAAACAGAGACCAATAGTGCAAAACCGTTTTAGGAAAGCTGAATCACGAACAACATAGAAGTAGAGAAGTGCCAACTCACAATATAAAGAGCTATGCCAAGCTCTAGGTAAAACAGGATACAGTGGTATTTAATACTCCCCACATGTAGGATATAACTGGACACTTGGAGGTGTATCTTCAAGACTTCTTACAGCATTCCAGATAAGCGTCAGCATATAAAATACATAAAAGGGGGAAAAACCCAATGGTGCAATAACGTAGGTTAACTGCAACAACAGACAACACTGAGGTCCTAAGAGTGCAAACTTACAATTGGGAGCGCTATAACCAGCTCTGAGTAAAACAGCATACATATGGTATTTAAACTCCCCACGTGTAGGATATCCTAGCGATGCTTGCAGTGCCGGTCTTATGAAATAAGAATCACAAGAGAGGACCCATAGAGTTTACCGTATAAAAGATAGCAGTAAAAGGAAAATGAAACATACTCACAGTGTTCAGAGCAGCCACACAGCTCTATGAACCAGGCGTAGGTGGAATAATCCCCACCAGAGATTTCTTTTGTAGTACTGGATCTTTAAAATGATAAAAAATCAGCCAGGATAAAACACCAACAAATACAAGTAAATGTTCAAAATACTTTTATTGGATTCTTATAAAAACACATTTCGCCAAAAAACAGGCTTCATCGAGTGTAGACAAGTGATCCTGGCTATTCACCTTTTATAGGCAAGTAAAATGGCATAAAATTTGAAGATTGGTGCCAAAATTACGTCATTGCAGCGCACCCTGTATTTGTTGTATCATGTAAAAAAAATATATATATATGAAATTTTATTCTAACTGTATTTTGATATATATACATATCTATGTATATATAAATAAATCAAAATAATATGAAATATATATATATCCATATACAAAATTACATAAATAAATTTCATAAATATACAAATATACGTCAAAAAATATATATATTTAAATTCTATGTTCTTATTTATGTAATATTTTTACATAATAAAGTAATTTTACTGATTGCAATTTGAAAGACCTGCCTGACAACCCAGGCCAAAAGTCCAGAGAATTTAATTTGCTAGCACTGTATTTAACCCTATACAAACAAAATAGATATCTACAGAAGGGGAGAATAAAACAACTCATAGAGTAGTATATCAAAACTAATAAACATATATGGTTCAAGGCTGCACTCACACAAATTAGTTGATTGTAGGCATGTCAAAATTATAGAGATGGTATGGACTCTTCAAACTCCAAAAGAGGGCATGTGGGAAACAAGAAATTACACAACAATAAGTGTAGATTTAAAGGACCATATATTGCGCTAAATTAAGTAGCACTTACACACTAGAAGTGGTGTTCAGGCATATAATGGTCTCAGGAAAATGTTGCTCCGTAAATGGAATAGTACTCCTTGGTAATAGTGTAAGAAATTTATTGGATATAACAAAGAAAATAAAAAATAATAAAATAAAAACAAATGTAAATCCCACATGGGCAGATTTTACATTTGTTTTTATTTATTTTATTTTATTTTTTACACTATTACCAAGGAGTACTATTCCATTTACGGAGCAACATTTTCCTGAGATGTAATGTAATGTAATGTTTTATGTGAATGTGATGCATACTTTTCAAGTTATGAATAATGTGGAAAAATTGTATTTCTCTGCTTGTGCTGTATTACATTACCCATTGTGTAAGGTAATTGAATCACATGCATAGAAACATAGTAACATAGAAACCTAGAATGTGACGGCAGATAAGAACCATTCGGCCCATCTAGTCTGCCCAATTTTCTAAATACTTTCATTAGTCCCTAGTCTTATCTTATAGTTAGGATAGCCTTATGCCTATCCCACGCATGCTTAAACTCCTTTACTGTGTTAACCTCTACCACTTCAGCTGGAAGGCTATTCCATGCATCCACTACCCTCTCAGTAAAGTAATACTTCCTGATATTTTTTTTAAACCTTTGTCCCTCTAATTTAAGACTATGTCCTCTTGTTGTGGTAGTTTTTCTTCTTTTAAATATAGTCTCCTCCTTTACTGTGTTGATTCCCTTTATGTATTTAAATGTTTCTATCATATCCTCCCTGTCTCGTCTTTCCTCCAAGCTATACATGTTAAGATCCTTTAACCTTTCCTGGTAAGTTTTATCCCGCAATCCATGAACCAGTTTAGTAGCCCTTCTCTGAACCCTCTCTAAGGTATCAATATCCTTCTGAAGATACGGTCTCCAGTACTGTGTACAATACTCCAAGTGAGGTCTCACCAGTGTTCTGTACAATGGCATGAGCACTTCCCTCTTTCTACTGCTAATACCTCTCCCTATACAACCAAGCATTCTGCTAGCATTTCCTGCTGCTCTATTACATTGTCTGCCTACCTTTAAGTCATCAGAAATAATCACCCCTAAATCCCTTTCCTCATATGTTGAGGTTAGAACTCTATCAAATATTCTGTACTCTGCCCTTGGGTTTTTACGTCCAAGATGCATTATCTTGCACTTATCCACATTAAATGTCAGTTGCCACAATTCTGACCATTTTTCTAGTTTACCTAAATCATTTGTCATTTGGCTTATCCCTCCTGGAACATCAACCCTGTTACATATCTTAGTATCATCAGCAAAAAGACATACCTTACCATCAAGACCTTCTGCAATATCACTAATAAAAATATTAAAGAGAATGGGTCCAAGTACAGATCCCTGAGGTACCCCACTGGTGACAAGTCCAACCTTCGAATATATTCCATTAACTACAACCCTCTGTTGCCTGTCACTCAGCCACTGCCTTACCCATTCAACAATATTTGAATCCAAACTTAAAGATTGCAGTTTATTGATAAGCCTTCTATGTGCAACAGTGTCAAAAGCCTTACTGAAAGGGAAGGAATTTGTGTGGGAGTGTCTGTATGTGTTTATTGGTTGTGTTCCAAAACCCTGTGGGTGGTACTAATGTGTAAGAATGTGTACATAAGCACAATAAACCCACAGCTCTGCCTGTTCACTGCTTGACCCTCAACACGGAGCTTTGTCTCATTCTTGGGGGGATTTATTGTATGCTGTACCAGTTTGACTGCTAGGTGTGTAAACCTATTCGTATGGTTTTTCCTATTCAGCTGTTTACAGCATTCATATGGTTTCCTGTTCGGCTGATTGGTGTTCTGCAGTAGCTGTGCCTGCATCTCTGGAAGGGAAGATCTTCTAAACGGCGGTTTAACCCTTTTATGCTGAGGGGTCCGTTACACATACCATCTCTATAATTTTGACATGCCTACAATCATCTAATTTGTGTGAGTGCAACCTTGAACCATATATGTTTATTGGTTTGATATACTACTCTATGAGTTGTTTTATTCTCCCCTTCTGGAGATATCTATTTTGTTTGTATATTCTGTGAGGACTGGAAGGAGTCCTTTATTTTCTACACTGTGGGAGATACATATAGGTAAATTATCCTATACATTTTATTCACCTATTGGGGTATGTTTTTTCCACTTTAACCCCTTAACGACCAAACTTCTGGAATAAAAGGGAATCATGACATGTCACACATTTCATATGTACTTAAGGGGTTAAAGGGTACACACAATTTTTACTGTATTTAACCCTGTAACTTTCTAAAACTTTCTAAAACACCCTAAAACTTGTACATGGGGGGACTGTTTTACATGGGAGACGTCGCTGAATACAAATATTAGTGTTTCAAAACAGTAAAAACATATCAGAGTGATGATATTGTCAGTGAAAATTAAGTTTTTTTGTATTTTTCACACACAAATGGCACTTTAATTGATGATATAATTGTTGTGATAGCATAGGTGGATGCCATGAGGCCTGTACATCGGGGGTACTGTTGTACTCACAACATCTTGCTAACATCCATTTTCTTATGTCTTATTAATCATATTCTATTACAGGTTATCAATTTGATATGTAGCGGTGTACGTTTAGGAGACCCTTAGCTCACCATGCTCGATAACTATTAGCACAGCATGTATCCTTATAAACAAATGCCTAGGTCAGGTTATGGATGTGTGATCTGTCTCATATTTTTATAAGGATATTGTCACCGATAATATTTATGAGTATTTTTGTCATTCAATTTTAGGTTTGTCTGGACTAATATTTTACTCCTCTGTTATCAGATCATCAGATTACAGTTCTTTCCGTAGGTAGGTCATTTACTGGTTCTAAAGTTCTCTACTGCACTGTGCATATCTTATCAGTTATATACCCCTTGCGCCAACTCATAGAGCCTCTCAAGCCACTTGGCGACTAGCAGGGCCTCACCCATCATCTACCTAGTGAATGGTTTTGCCACTTGGCACTAGCTAACCAGCCAGTTAAGTGATCCTGATCCAAGTTAATTATTACTATATGTCAGTATGTCCCAGATTCCTGCCGTAGGTGATGACGTGTAAAATCCCCTGTACTCCAGTTGGGTCCACTACACCTACACGATAGGTGATGTTAGTAGTCTGGCTTCTATCTAGTTATGGACCATTCCTCACATAACGGCTGTGCAACTTTCCTTTCCCATCAGCGGCCAGGATAGCAGTACTGTTCAGGCTCATACGCACCAATACGGACAATGCCGATGTTGAAGTAGGCACGAGTTGCTCGAGCAACACCGACCTCCACGCAAGTTCTCAGCACTCGTGTCCTCTAGGGGGTGAATACATGAGAGAATGGGAAGACTAGAAACACTTTGTCTAGCCATGCTGCCAACAGGACGCTGACCCTCGCAGGGTTCTCCATACTCATGCAATCTTTACACAATTCAACATTGAGCCCATGCGCCTGTACGTTGAAGACATACAACGGGATATTGATTTTCTGTCATGCTGCCTGACTTTCCTTCTTAAGTTTTACTCCAATGGGTGAATTAGGATATAGATAATGATAATAAACTTAACCAAAAGTTCACACAATGTGACAAAAAGAACACCAGGTAAACATCACCCTTATAGTGCATGCAAGATTATACTTATGAACGTGCTTGTTATTAACAAATTCGAGTTCAGAGCCTGAAACAATAAAAAAATCCAACTCATAGTGTACACTGTAAACATATCTGGGTGTAATGATAGTTAATGGTTGTTCTCACTATAAACATTATTAAGGTGTAGGGAAAACACCTATGTTCATCCCAAGTGTAAGTACATAGAAAGAAATAATTTGAAGCGGCATACATCTGCTATTTTTATCTTTAAGATATAGATAAGTTGTGATGCTACACCTATCAGACTGATTTAATCGGGTTCCACTAGCTGCATGGTTGTTCTTTCAAGACAAATTTCACTACTTACATCTTCAGCATTTCATTAATACATAGCTTCTCAGTGAGACTTTCTTCGGTATTAGGCCCCTTACTGGGACATATCGACTTCTATTATATGACTTGGCCCTCTCCATGGCTGAGCGTTGCAACTAACTGTAGTAATCACACCAAGCCCCACTTAGGCCTACACTATATGGTTCACTAATCTAAATTAACATGTGTATACATTCACTGTACTTACATTAACACAGCCCTCAGTTAAAATGATTAGGGGTTGTTGGTTTGCTTCTCATACACTTGTTAGCTTGATTCATCCTTCATTATGGTCCATGTATATACTTTTCATTGCATATTCTTGTTCATACTGATGCTAGTTACTTATGCAAATTTCTGTTTTTCTTCAGTATTTAAATTTTTCTGGTTCTCAACCCTTTCTACTCTGTTATTTACACTATATAAGTTGGTTTTATGAAATTGGCCCTTGCTATATTAAACACATATCTACATTCCTCACTTATCTGTCTTAGGGCAAACCCATTAATTTCAGGCAACAGGGGCTTATGCATGTGACAAGCTCACGATTCACTTACTTTCCAGAGTTTCATCATTAGTATTGTAATATATGCCTCAATGCTATTAGGTAAAGGTTGACATCATATGCTGGTAGTGGCCACCCGGTTTGGTCTAGTCGCTCGTGTTACCCCTCAGTTGTTTGTAAGGTTTATATGGGTTGCCGCTTACATGGTTACAATAATTTTCTTAGCCCTCGTAGGACTCACGTGTCTGTCAGATTTTGCTTTTCAATGTACACAATGTTGCTCCTCTAGGTTCTATGGTATTTCAAATTGTGTCCTTTGTGGTCTGCCAGCGATTGCTGTCACAAGTCTCTACATTACTATTCACGTCACAGGTAAGTGGTCCTTCGTTATCTCTAAGGTTGTCTCGACAGGTTAGTTCAATCATTAGGGAGCACACCAATCCTACATGTTTTGCTTATAAAACCAGATTCATGGGCAAACAAGTAACACGGCTCTTGTATGGTCCACCCTACATATATATTTAACTGTTTTCATCACTTATGATACATACCCATATATGCTCCTTGTTTATATAGTATTAGTACGTTATGTTACCGACACATTTGCCATGATATCTATGCTAGGGTTGCTCTTTTGCCATAATGCCTTGAATTACTACCCATTCACTCTTCTATATGGCATTTGCATGGTATTCAATGGCAGGCCTGTACTATTTTGCACAGACTTACTTTCGGTTCTGGCATACAAGTGGACCATTGTGTTATAGATCCTTAACCTGGTATTGACTAAATGGCGCTATCTATTAATACTCATCGATCCTACAGCAGGGCCTTCTCATTATACATGAGTTTCTTAATAGACCATGACATATAATGTTGGTTATTACGTCTCTGGTAGCATTCGCTAATTTTTGCCACCTTATATTTTAGGCTATCTCACAATACCATCAAGTTCTGTACCTTACAACAATGCTTGGATCATTTCATCCTATCCTATGCAAGAGTATATTTTAAGCTGGAGCTCCTACCACTCACAAAATGGTGCCAGTCCATAAGCAATTATTCATAGACATATCCACCTTACTTGACTCAGACGGGGGCAGCCTTACAACACCCAGCCAGACATTCCAGTACACATCACTAAAATCACTGGGTCGATGGATGCTAATTATTGTATATTTCACAACCGTACAGGAAATGCGGAGTGCTTTTGTTATATATGTCAGAATAAGGTAATTACATTGCATTATGTTCGTTGTCTTGATATATTTACACAACATGGTAATTCTTTATTTTTTCCCACTTTTATCTACAGTCCTACCGCATCATCGTCAGTTTCCGGCACATCTCAACCAACATTTTCCTATAACAGGTTACGCCACAACACAGTCTGGCATTAACCATAACAATGTGGCCCCAAACAACAGTTAGTTGCAACACTCAGCCATGGAGAGGGCCAAGTCATAAATAGAAGTATATATATATTTATTTGAAAAAAACAACATTTATAATAAACAAATAAAAACGCTAATTTTGGCCAGCATTTGTGACTAAGTGGCTACTACAATAGACTGGAAATACCCATTTGGACTACCATGGGTTGTCTACATTTGAAAATGGTATACCATAATGGGGTTATTTTACATTCCTGGGCTACCATATGTTCTCAAAAGTCAACACAGATGCAGCAAGCCCTATATTGACCCTGTAACTTTCCAAAACACCATAAATCCTGTACATGGTGGGTATTGTTATACTCGTGAGACTTCCCTGAACACAAATTTGAGTGTTTAAAACAGTAAAACTTATCAAGACGATGAAATCACCAGTAAAAGTGCAGTTTCATGAATGCTAATTTTGGCAAGCGTTTGTGGCTAAGTGGCTACTACAAAAGACTGGACATACCCCATTTTGAATACCGTGGGTTGTGTACTTTTACAAATGGTATGCCGTTTTGGGGTTAATTTTCATTCCTGGGCTGCTATATGGTCTCAAAGGCAACATAGGCCCAGCAAACCAATCTGGCAAATTTCAATCTGCAAACGTGGAAAA